GATCAACTCGAGGTCGAGTTCGAACCTTTACAAGAGTTAAATAACGAAAAACCGAGGTCGAGTTCGAACCTCGACATGATCAACTCGAGGTCGAGTTCGAACCTTTACAAGAGTTAAATAACGAAAAACCGAGGTCGAGTTCGAACCTCGACATGATCAACTCGAGGTCGAATTCGAACCTTTACAAGAGTTAAATAACGAAAAACCGAGGTCGAGTTCGAACTTCGACACGATCAACTCAAGGTCAAATACGAACCTTTACAAGAGTTAAATAACGAAAAACCGAGGTCAAATTCGAACCTCGACATGATCAACTCGAGGTCGAGTACGAACCTTTACAAGAGTTAAATAACGAAAAATCGAGGTCGAGTTCGAACCTCGACATGGTCAACTCGAGGTCGAGTACGAACCTTTACGAGAATCACTTAACAAAAGCCTGAGGTCGAGTACGAACCTCGACATGATTAAATCAAGGTAAAGTATCACCAAGTATAAAAGAATACAACAGACATCGAATGTGTGTCTCACAGCGCAAATAACAAAAATCAAGCCTAAACACAAAGGCAAAGGAAAACGCAAACGCAAATAGACAAAGAAAAATATACATACACAATCAATATTTCCAGAGTTCTACACTTGAATTCCAAATAGAAAAATAAAGCAGGAGAAAAGTTAACTAAGCTACGACAAAATTGGCCTACGCAGAGGCGTTCTCACTAGAGTTGTCCTCGAAGTCGTCCTCCCTTACCAGCTTCCCAAAACAGACTACTTTCTCCACGTGCATGGCAGAGAAGTCGATCCCCGGGCAAGAAGCCTTGCCTGGCGAACTGCCTTGAGGAACCCCTGCTTGTGTTCAACCACGATAGCTCGTTCGATTTCCTCCAGCTTCTTCTCCAGCACCGCCCTCTCCACCTCCTGCCTTGCCAGCTCCACTTTCAAGGCGGCAACCTCCTCCTCTTTTCCGCCAAGGACGACCTCATCACAGAGGCGTTTCTAGGGAAACGAACGGCCCTGATCGCACCGACAAAATCAACGATGTAGATCATCTCGAATTTAAATTCGTCACTGTTCATGGGTCAGAAGTGTTGTCTCGTAGTAACAGGAGAAACAAACGGCCCTGATCGCACTAACAGAATCAACGGTGTAGATCATCTCGAATTTAAATCCCTCACTGTTCATGGGTCAGAAGTGTTGTCTCGTAGTAACAGGAGAAACAAACGGCGCTGATCGCACTAACAGAATCAACGGTGTAGATCATCTCGAATTTATATCCGTCACTGTTCATGGGTCAGATGTGTTGTCTCCTAATAGCAGAGGAAATGAACGACTATGATCGCACCGACAGAATCAACGGTGTAGATCATCTCGAATTTATATCCGTCACTGTTCATGGGTCAGATGTGTTGTCTCCTAATAGCAGAGGAAATGAACGACTATGATCGCACCGACAGAATCAACGGTGTAGATCATCTCGAATTTATATCCGTCACTGTTCATGGGTCAGATGTGTTGTCTCCTAATAGCAGAGGAAATGAACGACTATGATCGCACCGACAGAATCAACGGTGTAGATCATCTCGAATTTATATCCGTCACTGTTCATGGGTCAGATGTGTTGTCTCCTAATAGCAGAGGAAATGAACGACTATGATCGCACCGACAGAATCAACGGTGTAGATCATGTATTTTTTTAGACAAATGCATTGTTCATGGGTCTATAAATATACGAATTCCATTGAAAATATTTCACCATCCAACTTATTTGGCTTTTGTTTGTTTTGTTATCTGATTTGTTGCATAGCTGTTGTGTTTGTTATTTAGTATCTGTTAAATTTCGTTTAAATCATGTCTTTCATTTGTGTAGTGTATTACAATGGTACAATTAACCAAACTGCTGAGGGTTGTTCATTCGTGGGTAGTCATAAAACAATACGTATTAGTCGTGGTATTGATGTTGAATATTTAAAGAATAAAATTCATGGAAAGTTACATGTTAATGCTAATCAATTTATCTCCAACATACAATGTAGATATTTACGTTCTCTTGATCCTGTATCATATGAAAGTGTTGATGTATGTGATGATGAAGATCTTGAGTGTATGTTTGATAGCTTTGAGAGACAATATAAAATGAATATGATTGAATTGTATGTTCATGTAGATGTGGTTGTGCCATCTTCAATTCATGTTAATGAAACTCAGGCAACCACTAGTCATCATGAATTTGAACAAACAACATCTTATCCGGCAAGTAACATCCCTAATTTACAACCCAAAAATGTTCCAATCTCACCACCAATAAATCATCCTGACTCAAACATTGATTTTGAGACAAACTTGAGTGATGATGATATCAATCTGGGACAAGGTGATGAAGCCGACGATTTGAATTCATCTAATACAGAGGATGAAGATGTCAATGCAAACAACAATGTGAGGGTGCAATCACCATATGAAGTTGAACCTCCCCAGCCAACTGAATCAGGTTTATTTGAAGTTCTATTAGTTTGATAAATAATATGGGTACTTACTTAACATTTTTTTCCCAACTACGACCTTCAAATAATCCATTTTGGACAGAAACTCCACATTACAGTTATATTGACTGGAGTCATCCAGATCAAGAGAGTTGGTATCGTGGTTTAGATGTCCCTAATTCTTGGAGAGTTGGCGACGAGCTGTATATCGGGCTTCGTTTTCACACAAAAAATGATGTACAGATGGCTGTTAAACATTATTCTATGAATGCACATCAAACTTTTGTTGTTGTTGAGTCTGGCCAAAGGGTTTTCTCTGTCAAATGCCCTAATAGCAATGAAGGTTGTCCTTGGAAACTAAGGGCAATTATGTCTAGTAAATTGAACAACAAATGGGTCATCAAGAAATGGGGCGGGACACACACATGTATTAACCCCATGCTATCTCAAGATCACAACAAATTGGACTCTGAGTTCATATGTTGTTGTATATTAGGTTAGTGCATATTTAACTATGGAGTTAAAACTTATCATATGACTTTTTCTAACATGGTTATCATTTATTTGTAGGTATGGTTAGGGAAGATGCTTCCATTTCGATTTCTCTAATTCAAGAAAGAATTAGTGGACAATTCAACTATAAGGTGTCGTATCGGAAGGCATGGAAAGCCAAACAAAAGGCAATTGAGAGGGTTTATGGTGACTGGAGTGACTCATATGATCTTTTACCAAGGTGGTTGGACAGGATGGTTGAATGTTGTCCTGGGTCTGTGTATAAACTTGAAACCACTGAGTACGTGTCAAACAATATAGTGGATCCAAATTTCCGTCAATTTCGTCGAGTCTTTTGGACATTTAAACCAGCATGTGATGCCTTCAACTACACTAAACCCATTATACAAATAGATGGGACATTTTTGTATGGAAAGTACCGAGGCACACTACTAATCGCTACGACACAAGATGGAAATGCTCGTGTGTTACCACTTGCATTTGCAATAGTAGAAGGAGAAACACTAAGCGATTGGTCATGGTTTTTGTCTAACATTCGTCGGTATGTTACGAGAAAATAAGGTATTTGTTTAATAAGTGATCGACACCAAAGCATAAAGTCAACAGTGGCAAATGCCCAAGGGTGGCAACCACCTCAAGCATATCATGTATATTGCATTCGACACATCGCTAGCAACTTCAACCACCGATTCAAGAATACTAAACTTAAAGAAGAATTGATTAACATAGGTACTAAATGATTTATTGTTTTTTATATGGTGTACTATTAACTTTAATTTTATAAATATTAATACATAAACTTCTTATATGGCAGGGTACACAACCAACAAGCATAGATTTGAAAAAAGGTTGGAAAGGTTTCGTGAGGTGAGCCCTGAAATTTGTCGTTGGATTGATGGCATTTCCCTTGAAGAATGGGCAATCGCACACGACGAAGAAGGACGTCGATGTGGACACATGACAACAAATTTGTCCGAGGCAGTCAACAAAATCCTTAAGGGTGCACGAAACTTGCCTATAACTGCGCTAGTTAAATGCACGTATGCTAGGTTGGTGGAGTATTTTATTCAAAGGTTAGGTCAGGCAAACGCTGACCTTGCTCTGGGTAAACGTTACTGTCAGAAGTTAATGGATGCTATGGAAACAAATCAACAACAAGCAACCTCTCATTTCGTTCGCAGGTATGATTATGAGTGTACAAGATTTGAAGTTGAAGAAATCTTCAATGCAGTCACACAACGAGGTGGGAAGGTTTTCAATGTTATTTTAAATGAAAAAAAATGTGAGTGTGGTGCTTTTCAGGCGTATAGATATCCATGTTCACATGCAATAGCAGCTTGTGCACACATTCGTATAGATCCATTAACTTTTGTTGATGCCGCATATACTAACGAATACATCAAAGCGGCATATTCAGGTCAATGGTTCCCACTTGGAAGTGAAGAAAATATTGAACCTAATAATGAACCTCGTATACTCCCAGATGAGACAATCATACGTACAAAGGGACACCCAAAATCCACCCGCATTAGAAATGAAATGGATTGGACTGAATCCCAAAGGAGGCAACGATGTGGACATTGTAGGCGTGAAGGGCATAATAGAACCAATTGCCCTGTGCTGGCTGAAGATGTAATCAATAACGCATGACAAGTTTGTATGTTGTTGTGTATTTAAAGAATAAAATTCCTCCAAAGTTAAATCATATGTCAATTCTAATTCAATTAAACTGTTCTATTATACAATAAAATAATTACAACAACGTTTACAGTAAGTATTAAAAGAAATACAAATTACTTCTTCAACGTATTATCGTATTTCTGGAGCATGTAACCAGCGTGGTCTGGTGGCATATCAACTGTAAAAAAAAGTTAATATTAGTAAAGTAAACATTTAGGTAAATAAATAAATATAGAACGATCAATTACGTTTAAGTACTAACAACTTATTATTCAAATTACCTATTCATTTCTCCGCATGTGCTGCTCATGGGGACTTAGGATACATTGCCGTTATTTATGGCGAGCACCACGATCTAGGTTCCTCCGAACTAACTCATCACCATCTCCCTCAGGGCTTCCAACTTCCGCTGCTAATGCTGTATTCAAATCATGCCCTAAACCTGGATGATGGGAAGACGAACCCCCACCTTAAAATCCTCCTACCATAAATGAGGGCTGTCCAAAATGATAATCTCGATAATTCATCATAGGTGCTGATGGAGAGATCATGTTTGGAACATATGGAGAAGGTGTAAACTGGAACATACTACGGCCCGACATACTCGGGACATGACCCATCGACTCGGATGCCGGGAAATTACCTGCCCCAGACACTCCTGCTGTGTCAAACCCAAAAGATGTGTCTTGTGCAGTACCATACACATATTGTGTCACATCTACATCCGTGGTCAATGTAGTCGGATAATATGTCCCAGTTAGTGGCTCAGTCGGAGGAACTGGCATCTGTAAACCCTGGTGTTCAACTCGCATTCATCGACGACTTAGTCCCTTTCCTTCTCGCCGACCCGCCCCAATGTGCTCCACCGGAACTGCGTCTGGTTGTGGTAATGTTGCAGTGGGAGCCGGTGTAAAAGGGAAACTCACCCTGCTCACCTCGTCTCGCAACTGCAAGCAGTAACCGATCCTATCATGCATCATGGTAAAATCAAAGGAATCCCTATGTTCTTCACTGGTGCCATGATACATGTGTTCCAGAACATCGGTCTACAAATAACATAATAAATATCATCAGAACACTACATTTGTAAATATGTCACAAGTAATTATTTAAATACATGCGTAGATTTGTACTCACCACATATCCTTCCTTTGCACTAGAAGGAGAAATTCATCGCCTTGTATGTTTCCTATACCACACCATGTATTCTGAGCTATTGCTCAAGTGTGGTGTATCACACGCAGGTTGTGTCCATACACGATGATGTCGTGACTGCCACTCCTGCACAAATTGAACGTGCATGCGTGACCAGTCCGTGTTATCCTTGCCTCTCAACGAAAGATCATGCAATTTCTCCGGATGAATAGGAGGCACAGGAATGTGTTAGACCATCCCAAATTGTCGCATGACACGATCTGCATAATGATACTCGACGATGTGGAAATTAATCAATGGGACAGTTGAGTTCCATACTTGTGAGTCCTCAAAACAGTAAGGAGGTAATGTAGGTAGTAACTCCAAGTATGATTGCCATACAAACTGCAAAATAACAAAACAATTAAGTACTTAAGAATTATCATTTATAATCATAATTTTTTAACCTAAATCTTCAATATAATATTATAATTTAAAACTTACATCCTCTCTTTTTAAACGGTCAAAATACTCTCTATACTTCACAATTTTTTCTTTTGTTTCCTCTCTAGGTTTATGCAAGGCATAATTCCACCTGTTATAAAAACAAAAAAACCATTAATTCTTCAATTTCCAAATTAATTCTAAATATAGTTATTCTTAAATCGATCACAAGTAATATAGTTACTAACCTTGCCCCTAGAGGAACATGAAATGTAGATAAAGGTGGATGAGGTGGTGCAATAGAAACCGATACCATGCTCATAATTGCAGTAAAATACCTGACCCAACAATTTCCTTGTGATCATAATTCGTCGCCACGCACAACTCCCTGTACATATTTGCAAGGACGCATGACCCCCAACTCATTTGACCACAAACATCTAGGTCTTCGAGGAAACTCAGGTATCTGAGGGATACAAACGAGCTAGAGTGATCAATTAATAAATATCCCCCGATCATGCGTAAAATGAACGCTCTAGTATAGCGTTCCAACTGTTCCTGGCTATGTATATGCTCAGAAACATCCGAAAAGTGCCGGTCAATCCAGCTCATCCTCAATCGACCGCCAGCAAGCATTGCCTCAGGGGTTGTCATGCCAAGAAGGCGCTGCACAAGAGCTCCCCAATCCATACTTGCGTATCCAGTAATGGGTGCCCCAGAGATCTTCAACCCAAGTAAAATTGCAACATCCTCCAACGTGATAGTACACTCGCCGAAGGGCATGTGAAACGTGTGGGTCTCTGGTATCCATCGCTCAACTAACGCAGATATTAAATGATTATCCACAGGAAAGTAACTAATTTGCGCCATCCCCATAAAACTAGCCCTTTGTAGAAGATCCTGAACAGCAGCTGGAATGTCACCACCACGCAACTCTGATTGTTTTGCACTCCTAACCTTCAGAACCCTATCCTCAGCTCCATTCCATATATGCTCAGATATATGGAATGGTTGAAGCCTTAATAATGAATCATCGATAGGTCCTGCATGAATCATCTGTGTAGACATCCTAATATAATTCAACAAACAAACAAATTAAATATTAAACTAAAACAACTAATTAATTATAAATTTTATAAATGCCTAAATACCTAATTTAATCCCTCATAATAATTCAAAATTTTCAATTGAAATCCTTCATTCTCATTGCACAAAAAGTGTCTAAATTTGGGTTTTGGAACGGGCCATTCTGAAAGCAGAACGACCCGTTCTGACCCCTTCCATTTTTCACTAAATGAAACAACCAGAACGGCCCCACAACGACCCGTTCTACTTTCAAAACGGCCCGTTCTGAAAGTAGAACGGGCAGTTCTGATTTCACAACAGCTCGTTCCAGATCCAAAATAACACCCATTTAGTTCAATCAGAACGGCCCGTTCCAAAAATAGAACGGGTCGTTCCACACCCAGAAACCAGTAACGAATAGCCCTAAACATTTTGTATTTAAATTTTTTTCTAAATTTAAAATAAATAAACTAAAAGACATACCTGATAACTGTAACGTAGAAAAAAAAATGAAATGAAAAAAATGATCCAGTAGCCAGAACGGGCCGTTCCCAAATTGGAACGGGCCGTTCCAAACTATTGTTTTGGCCTTACTAAAATGAAGGAGAACCGGCCGTTCCGGAAGGAGAACGGGCCGTTCTGGAAAGGAGAACGGGCCGTTCCGGATGGAGAACGGGCCGTTCTGGATGAGTCCCGGAACGGGCCGTTCTGATTCCAGAACGGGCCGTTCTGGGCGTGGATTTTGTGCGTGATTTGGGAGTTCGGAACGGGCTGTTCCGAACTCGGTACGGGCCGTTCTGGGGCAATCCGAAAGTCTATAAATAGGGGTTGGGGCCTTCAGGAAAATGTGAGTTTTTAGAGAGAAGGTTTAGAGAGAAGGTCTCTGAGTTAGTGAACTCCTTTCTCTCTCAAATTTCTCTGTTTGACTCATTTTCTCCTCTAGATCACTAACTCCTTCTGACTTTTCTTGAAATTTAGATTAGAAAGCTTGCTTTGGGAGGTTTGAAGTTCCGGGTTGAGCTTTGGAAAAGAATTTTATTTCGTCGCAGTTATTTGCTATTCTGAGCCAACCTTTAGGTAAGGGAAGCTAGAATGTTTGTTATTTAAGTTGCATGTGAGTTGGAAACTCAATTGATGCATGAAAGATGAGGATCCATGGCTGGATCGGAGATTTCGCTCATTTTTCGGGGTTTTGGGAAAAATGGGTTTTTGGGTGGAATTGATGCATCTGATGGGTGCATGTAGATTTGGAGTTTGTTTTTGTGTTGTATACTCGAAGAAGATTGGGGAAGAAGGAGAAACAAAACTGTAGAAAGGAAGTACCTGGTACTCTTCCTCAGAAAACAACTGTAAGACCCCGTTCATATATTCTTTCTCCCTTCTCCCTACTCACTTCACTCTTCTCATTTTCTCCCTCTCAACTCACTTTCTCTCAATTCTCCTTTACTCTATCTTTTCCTTGTTTCCTTTTTCCTCTGATCTTGGGTGGTAGTGGTGATCTTAGGAGCTGAGTAATGGTGTTGGATTGCTAGCTGAACCGTGCGGAGCTCCTCTTCAAGCTTCTTCTTCTCCCTTCTCTTCCCGGAGCTCGGAATCGTCTCACCGAGGTAAGGGAAGTTAGTTTTACTGCGTTTTTGGTTGAAATGAGTCTAGGAACTCATTGTGATTGCTGATGATTGATGGTTCTTGGCTGATTTGGTGAAAAAGGGGTTTTTAGGGAATTTTGGGGTTTGAAGAAATTTTGGGGTTTTTAATGAATTGTGTTTGCATGTTGGAAATGAGGCATTTTTATTGATATTTGATGAGAATGGAAGCTTTTGGATAGTTTGCATGTTGGATTCCTGGTGTTTTCTGCAGGTTTTGATGAGATTTTCGAAGTAGGTAAGGGTTCCTGTTTGAATTTGCGCCGGGCGCAGTTCTTCGCGCCGGGCTCGAATTGAAAAGGGGAATCTCTGGGTGAATCGCGCCGGGCGCGGGTAGAACCACGCTGGGCGCAATAGACATCTGTAGGTCTCTGGTTGGGAATTGCGCCGGGCTCTATTTTTAACGCGCCGGGCGAGCATTTGATTTTCAGAATTTGACTTTATATTCTTCATGAAAGTTGTAGCCTTGGATGTTAGATTTCCAATGGCGCTGGAATCACTCAAAAAGGAGTTTTAGAACTGTAGATATGGCTGTTTTAGTGAAGAGGGGTCGAGCTGCTAGCTTTGTTTATAGTTGTTGCGTTTTTATCATTTGTAACATGGTAGATGAAGGAATTAAAACTTGGTGTCTTCAGGAGAGTTGTAGGAAATTTGATTATCTTTCATATGAGATAAGGATGAGCATGGTAGGAGTAGTATAACTTCTGATGCGCTATTTGCTGTGATAGTTGCCATTTCACATTTAGTGATTTGGTTAAGTTGAAAGTTGTTTTAGATGCTTAGGTGTACTCTTGTTGTTTGGGTGAGTAATTTGACAAGATAGATGAGTTGTAAACAAGATGGTTGGGTCGCATTAGGTGTTGATCATGTTGTTTTAAGCTGTTAGTGATGAATGATTATTGAGCTGAATGATGATATTGATGTGCTGCGCTGAGCGCGGCCTTTGTCGCGCTGGGCGTGAGACTCCTTGGGAGTCTCTGCCTCGAGGGCTCTGGGCGCAATTGGATATTGCACCGGGCGCGAGAGAGCTTTGGACTCTCTGGCTAAGTCTCGTCGGGCGCAGGCACGCTTGCGCTGGGCGCGCTGGCCCTCTTTCTCCCTTCTCCCTACTCACTTCACTCTTCTCATTTTCTCCCTCTCAACTCACTTTCTCTCAATTCTCCTTTACTCTATCTTTTCCTTGTTTCCTTTTTCCTCTGATCTTGGGTGGTAGTGGTGATCTTAGGAGCTGAGTAATGGTGTTGGATTTATTTAATTTGTTTTTATTTTGTACATGTATGTATGAGTTATCCAGCTTAATATTTCTTAGTTCACTAGTAGTAGTGCGATTCCACTAAGTGTAGAGACCATGGCGGGTCGTTACAATAACAACGTGCAAATATACTTTTGTGGGCAATCAAATTTTTTAAGACCACTAGTAAAACCGTTTTCTCAGAGCGTCGGGACTTCAAGCGTTTTCTCAATATCTTGTGTTGTGGCCCTTTACTCTTCCGGACACCATTTAAACACAAAATGGGGGAGGACCCCTGCCACGTGTAACAGATGGCGCCTAGGGGGGAGGAGCTTTCAGCTCAAGTGTGCCATGTAAGCAAAACGCCTGGGGGGGAGGCGCCTTCAGTGTATGCCACATCAGCCTACAAGGCGCCTGGGGGGAGGCGCCTTCAGCTCATTCGTGCCACGTGTATAAAATGCCTGCCCCCTCCAGCGCTTTCAGTTCACCCTGCCACATCAGCATACAAGGCGCCTGGGGGGAGGAGTTTTCTAAAAAACGCCCACCCCCAGGCGTTTTCACTGCCACGTTGGCACTTGCGTGTCCAAAACTACCTATTTGGATAAATAGTTTTTTTTAAAATTTATTTCGTGTATTTTTTTATTTTTTTTTATTTACACAAGTCAAAAAGCCTACATATTAACACATGTACTTTCACATTCATATTCACATTTAAAACACAGCTTAACATACATTTATATTCTTTATTAAGGATAGAGATTCAGTTTCTAACATTTGATTTCTGACTTGAATATGAATTCATAATAGCAGATATCACTTTCCTTATTCCTACAGGAATCATCTTAGTAAAAATAAATTATAAAAAAAATCAACACAATTCATAAATAATTAGATTATTTATCAGATTCAGCAACTAAGAAAAACCCCATCTCTATAGTTTGTGTTGTACAAGTGTTAATTTATAATGTACGTAGTATGTTTTTGTAATGTTATAACTTTTTAATGTATTTTGATTTTAATAATCAAAATTTAAATAAATCAAATTCTTATCAAAATATTTATGATTAAAATTCTTTTATTTCTCTGTATAAATTATTATAACTATCCTTTTTTCTTCACATAATTATTTTAACTAAAGTATTTTTAACTATTTTTATTAAAATAAAGTGATTTTATCAAAATATCATATTATTGTGTTGCAATAATACAATATGCAACATCAACAATAATACTCCATAAGTACTACACTATAAGGACTATTTTTTTATATATAAAAAAAATTATAACGGCAAAAGATGAGAAAACAAAGAATTTACAAGATGAAAAGTTAAAAAGAAAAAAACTACACTAGAAAAAAATACATATTTGGAAGCTCTAATAAATATGTATTAAATGTAATGTATAAATTTAATAAAATTAATATAAAATGAACTTATATAACAAAATTCGTGTATTCTCTCATTAAAGATAATATACTTAAGCTTAGTTTTTATTAATCTAAAAACCCTATATAACTTCTATTACAATTCATTAACATTAAAATTAATTACTAATAATTAATTTAGTGGTTTTGGATGGCTAAAGTAGAACTAGTTTAGTAATAATCATTTCATGTCAATAATGGTCCATACATTATATACACGTGTATTTCAAAAATATAGGTAGCAGGTAGTAATTATCTATAGAAAAAATGGTTAATCCTTGGTAATATCTCTTAGAATTTTGACTTTAAATATAATTAAACCCTACAAAGATGAGAGCTATCTAAGTTTTACTTGAATCATATAATTTATAATTGTGAGATCAAATTATCATCTTGAAGTTGTGATTACAATAACCTATAAAAAGATCACAATTGAGACATATTGCGATTAATAATTGTTAAGAAGAGAAATGATCACTACTAGAATTTTTCTTATTACATGTGATTTTTCCTGTGAATTTTTTTATAAAAATTCGTAGAAATGTTGTTCCTGCAAATTTTCCTGCGAAATTTTATCTGCAGGTAATACCTTCGTGGATAATATTTTTTTGCGAATTTTAAAATTCGCAGGAAATTTTCCTGCAAAATTTCTTGCGAAAAAAATTAAAGAAATTATTATAAATTCTAATAATTTTTTTACTTTCAA